GAGGATAATATTATAACATGATATAAAACTCAAAAAAGTAGACTTTACATGTGATAGCTCCTTTAACAAGGGCCAGATTTGGTCCACGGGCCTTGTTTTTGCAATGCTATTTGGAAAATAAGACAAGTAAATGTTTCTGGGCAAAAAAAGAAACCCTGACAGATAAAACAGGCATGGCCATTAGTTAATAACACTGTTAGTAAGGCAAGGCTCCACCTACTAACAGATATCATGAGGCTGTGGTTGAGTGCTCATTTTTGCCAACATGCTACAGTGCACAAACAGCCAAATGGGAATAGAAACTGAGTGGGTTGAGTCAAATGTCATCTGCAAAATATTATGAATCCTGGCTTGCTCGATTTGCACTGTGACATTTGGGCGATATCAGTAATTCAGAATTCACTGAAATGTGTGTTTGCAGCAATTGGGGGATATGTGTGGCCTAGAACAGTGTCTAAATCTGGCAGCTCAAGCTGACATAAGGCTACAAGTGCATTTGAGGATTTTCGTTGAGCTTTGTAAACTGCCTTCTAATTGCTTCCCCTTTGGGTTTTACCTCTCAGTTCCTGATACAGCTCCCACTGATGTTGGAGGTGGAGGAGGCACAAAGTCTGAATTAGTGATAACATGGGAGGTAAGTCATCTGTCAAATTTTACGGTTCTCTCGATCGCACAGTAATGGTTTTGCTTAATTGTGCAGAATTGAGTGAAGCAATTTTATGACCTACATTAGAGGGAGACACTCCTCATCTGGCTCAGCTACCAAGAGCCATTTTTTTCTTCCAAAAGCAACGACAGAGAGTACTTTATTTCAAGGGTTTTGCACTTTAGCTACAATTACAAAACCATGCAAGAGGAAAAGATAAGCTAAAGGTGACTGTGAGGGGTTTTGGTCTGTAACAGAAGGAAAAGGAGCTTTGTCTGTTCACTAAAGTCCAAATCAATGTGAAGTGCAGAGACAGGCCTGTCTGTTTTTTTTGTCTGTAAGCGTTTTAATATCACTACAGTTCTGTGTTTCACTCCCAGCCTTTGCCTGAGGAACTGCAGAACGGGGAGGGCTTTGGCTACATTATCGCCTTTAGGTCTGCAGGCACAGTCACGTGGACACGAGCGATCATCTCCACTCCAGGCGTATCCCGTTATGTCTTCCGCAACGACACCATCCCACCTTTCTCACCTTTTGATGTCAAAGTTGGAGCCTTTAACAACAGAGGGGAAGGACCATTCAGCTCTATTGCAACTGTGTATTCAGCAGAAGAAGGTAGAGTTAAGGATTTTTACTGTTCTCTGGCAGAAAGTGACGCTGAAACAAGCTATAATCTTTCTCCTTACAGCTGCGACCTTGAATTGCAATGATGATTTATTTTTCTCCAGTGCTGTTATTTCCCTCCCCTTTCAGAGCGGGGAATGTCAACTTGATATTAGTTATCTTGCTGGTAGATTACAGGAAATCCTTGCAGACACTTACCMCACCACGCTGTCAGGGAGGTATCCTGCTAATTGAATTTGCTGGGCAGATAGTCTTCCCTTATGTCAGTCACAGATCCCATTAAAAGAGAGCAGGGGAAATGGCTTCTYAGTGAAACTACAGGTCTATCCTCTGCTTTACCTCTCATCGCTATTAGTGTTTGTGATGGTGTTGTGAGCGTCKGTGGGATTTTCACCACAGTTGTGCTTTATATCTGCAGTCCCCGGTGTGGCTCCTAAGAGGGTTAGAGCTCGGAGTTTGTCGGCAGCACAAATTGAAGTGATCTGGGAAGCTCTCCCCGACCTCCCAGAAAGAGTCCTAGGATATGAGGTATGACTCATTGCACTATCATTCTCATTTTTTAAAAGAACTTAAATGAGCTTTTGCATTGTTTGTTAGCTTATTAAGTTATTCTTTGATTAGTTTTTTTCCCTAGACTCTAACTTACTCTACATAATTATCCTGTATACTCCTATACATTCTGCAGAAGTTCTGTTTTAGACTTTGATAATACACACATTGACAAAATAAAATTAAGCACATTGAAGCATTTAGTCATTATTTAGTAAAAAGATAAAAACAGCAATGGGTATGTAACTTTTGATTTAGAACAAGCACCAGAGSCATAAATGGTGGCATTACAAGAGGAAAATCAGTGTTATCAGGTAACTGTCACAAAAACAGTGACCAAATGTCACCAAACACAAAGGATTGCTTGTGAATAAACTTTACTGAGTACTTGATGGGGTTTGATAGGGGTTAGATTGCAGTTTTACATGAAACTGCGTGCTTTTTCTGTGCAACATGATGTCGGGAATGGCATCTGTGCCAGGCTTCTAAACACAGGTATTCAACCCGCATCCTGCTCCATGTCTCACTGACTGGAATCAACATATCTACAGGTTTATTGWCACATACTTGGGCTGCCATTAACACCAGAGCAGAGTTGGCTGGACCAGTTTTCCAATAGGAAAATGCATGTTGTGGCATGGTTATTTCCTCAATCAGACGTGTGGAATCTATGTAAACACTAAACCAATTCTTTACCTTTGGGTCTTGAAAGCCAGTGGGTCAGCATAGGAGAAGTTGTACAACTTTATA